GCATCCGCCTTCGAAGTTTCATCGCACTTCTCGGGTCGGGTTTCGATCGGATGGCTTGTCGAACTTCGTTTTGATCTTGCTCGGCGATTTGACGATGTATTTCGGCAGATGCTTGGAGGAACTCAAAGCCATGCAGAAGTTGAACTCGACGTTCAAGGAGTTCAACACTAAAATAGTGCCTAGCTAGATGGCGCGGCGCCCTGAGTCGTTCTGCCAACCCAACGCCTTGACGCCAAACAGCTCGACAAATGCTTTTAATGATGAGGAATCTGGTGGCCACCGACTCTGGGCGTTTCACGATCATAGCATCCCGTGCATACTGAGCAGCTTCCCTCATGATACGGGTGTGGAAATCCAAAAGTAATGGAGGGGACATTGAGGAAGTATCAGTACTTTCCTGGATCGGTTTGATATATTCTGCGGATTCGTCCTGTCGAAATACTTCTTTAGACATAGGTCGTTGTCTAGCTGGAATGGGGAAGCTGCTCGCAATCTCGACCACAAGCGGCGCATGGTCGGAAATGCCCTTCGAGGATAAGACCTCAGGGCACTCGACTACCTGGCCACTAAACTGCACCTGGTTGCAGACCCAGCCTGGGAAATGACGAAGATCCTATCTATGGTGTTCAGGGCCCCCAGGTCCTTATTGTAGTGCGCGGGGTCGGGGGTGTCGATCTCGGTCATGGAGGAGAGGATGGGGCTAATGATCGGGTCCTTCGTAGCACGCCAGAGTTGAGCAGGCAGAGTTGGATCGGGGCTTGGGACTGCGCCCAGGAGCTTAAGGGGCTTTGTCGGCGAGGTTCAAGTCGCCAGCCACAACCACCAGGCGCGAGGTAGGAAAGAGCTGAGAGTCAGAGAGACGATCACGAAGCACCGAAGCGAGAAGACGACGTTCATTCACAGATAGACCGTGTATATGTAGATTGAAATGGCTGATCCAGGTAGTGTCCGAAAACTTCGCAAAGACCTCCAGAGCACGCCCAGGGATATGCCGATAGACATGTATGGCCGGGGTGATGTTCGAGAACGAACCAACCTTGGGGACGAGAGTGATGACGCCACCTGCCCGACGAGAACTGGGACAGAACGAGGAGTAGGCAGAGAAGCAGGAGTTGGAGTGGTAGAGGAAGTCCCGAAGCTCCGCTCGGGTGCCGTGCGTCTCCTGCAGCGCAACGAATGTGCCAGGTCGCCATAAAGAGCGGACCTTGCGCAGCTTGATTGACTTGCAGGCGACCTTGAAGTGAAAAAGTGCCCTGGCGTTCCATGTCACAAGTCGTAGGGGCATGCTACGACCAGACTGATCATGCCAAGCACCAAACAGCGGGCTAAATACTCCACGTGGTGCCCTCCGTCTGCTTGTAGTTCGCCTTGATGGCCTCACAGAGCGCCGGCTTGGAAATGCCGAAGAATGCCAGGTTCTCTTGCTCAGCACGGGGGTCGATGCGCACCAGCGGCCTCCACTGGCATGACACTTCTCCTTTGAGCTTGTCACTGAAAAACTTCTGATGAGGACACAATCGTTCCAATTCGCGCCGTGCACATTTGACTCCCAACTCACGTTTGACCTGGGCCTGGTTCTTATCTGGGGATATGAAGATCTCCTGCTGCTGCTGACTGCCTGCGGCGAGTACAGAGAACCGCTCCCATTCATTGTTAGCTTTGCGGAGAGCCCCCAACGCTTGTTGGACCTTCCGCGCGCCATAGGGTCTACTGCCCTTAATTCGCATGATGTGATTGGTGGTGGTCGGCTCAGACTCCATCTCGAACTCCGAGGGGTCCAGATTGGCGCGCTGGAGCCAACCCTGCAGGCTGGCGAGCACGTCGGACTGGGTAGAAGAGAGCTTGGTCCTGAAGATGGGGATGGAGTGATCGATCTCTCTGTCGAAATTGATGCTTGCGGGGGGGAGGCACAGGCTTGTCAGACTTAACAACATCAAGAGCCGCTTGTAAGGTACGAATTTGCGCCTCCATGACGTCGATCCTAGCTTCCTGTGCGGACTGCCTTTCCTCAAAGGCGGTGAGGCGGCTCTCAAGTTTGTGGTCCATCGATTCCCAGCCGCGCTTGATTGACTTGGACAACGCACCCATCGACTCCTCGACCTTGGCCAGGGCTCCCATGAACTCCTGTTTTGTGTCGTTGATGTGCTGGCGCAGGTCGACAATGTCGGATTGGTCGGCGGGCTGTGCGATTCGGGCTCGCTGAGGGGCGCTGGCTCCTGCATCCAGTCCTTGTCGCATCCCTTGCTCTTGAGACGGGAAGGTGGGGGCGGCTTCCAGCAACTCCGCCATCCGCTTCCTCTCATGCTCCAGCTCCTCGGGAGAAGGGACATGACTCGACATGCTTGTGGCGTAGTGGCCAAAACAGACTGCTGCAGTCGGGGTCGACTTACAGCAGGAGCGTGCGTGGCAGCCTGAAAAGGGGACTTTGGGCCTGCCCCTCGGCTTGAGCCAAAATGGCTACGGACCTCCTCCTCCTCCTCCTCCTCCTCCTCCTCCTCCTTCATCTCCTCCCCATCCGCATCTTCATTCTCATCCTCATCTTCCCGTCTCGCCACACTGTGGCCTCCGCCATTCTTCCTCATCCCTCCACGTCTCCTCGTCGAAGACGGCCTCCTTCCACAACCTCTGCACGCGCGGTATCGCCTCTGTGCGGTAGAGGGTCGCGTGCATGCCCCAATTCACGCCTTGGAGGAAGAGGCGGAGGAACCAGAGAATGAGCTATTGCTTTCGCCCTGCTCCGATGGGGGGGAGGATGAGGAGGAGGAGGAGGACGACGAGGAGGAGGAGGACGAGGAGGACGAGGAGGAGGAGGAGGAGGACGAGGAGGAGGAGGAGGAGGGAGGAGGAGGAGGAGGAGCAGTGTAAACCCAAGTCCACCAACGATGTTGCAACAAACTCTCCCTCCAAGCTCCCTTCCCATGGGCCCCTACAACGAGTGAGTTCACTTAGAACAGTGCCCCATTGGAAGACAATCGGTGTGAAAATCTTGAACCGTACCCAAGCACCATGCCTGGGACTTCAACGCCGCGAATCATCGTTACTGTTGCGCCCTGACAGCCTTGAATTGTGCCAGAACGCCGTTCCTGGGACTGAAGCACCGCGAATCAACCTCACGGTTACACCCTGACAATCCTACATCGTGTCAAACAGAATTTCGGGGACGTCGACCTCAAGAATCCGTGAAACGGCTGTAGACTCTTGAAACGAATGTGCGCGGCGCTAAGGCAGGAGCCACATGTTGAAAAGGAACCGCCATCCACCCATGAAAATCTTCCAAACTGCTAAGATGGATGTGCGCGGAGACAAGACGAGATTCACATTTTGAAAACGGCCCGCCCTCCATCCGTGAAGCTCTTGCAAACGTTCAAGACGAAGGCTTAAAAAGTCTTGCAAGCTGCTAAGACGAATGCACGCGGCGCTACGGCGATAGCCACATTGTGAAGACGGCCCGCCAGGGAAGCGCCGGGCCGTGCAGTCGGTTGAGCCGTAAGCCAACGTAGTCACGGAGAGAAGGGCGGAAGAGGGGAGGTGGGAGGGCAGGGCAGGGCGGGCGGGCGCGCATGGCTTGGAGATCCCCCCGCGAAGCCACGGGCAGGGGGCCAGCAGGGCCACGCCGAGGCCAGTGGCCAGCAGCGGCCCGTGGGCCGGAGCGCACGGGGGCCGGCAGGCCCGTGCGGAGCAGCAGCCCGGCGCGGGGCGGCCAGCCGACACGGGCAGGGGCCACGGGCGCAGAGGCCAGGGCAGGGCAGCACGAGTGGGGCTGCCCACCGTGCCTGCGAGTCTTGCCTCGCCTGAGGCACGGCTTCTCTCCCTCTCCTTGCCTTATCCACCCTCCCCCTCATCCGCCCTTCGCTGCTTCCCCCCCTTCCGCCCCCCCAACCACCCCTCGAGACGGGAGCAAAGGCAGCTGGTATCGACCAGGGAAGCCAGATCCGAAATATAGACCACCAAATCAACACCCACACAATCATCACCACCAAGTCCAAGGGAAGCCAGATCCGAACGGAATGTGCGTCGCATCGGGCCGCATCGGATCGGCCGCGCCAGGGTGTATAACTGCGCTGTACAAGCATCGGGCCGCACGGATCGCTGGGAGAGCGGAATCGAATCGGACTGAGCCGGCACAAATCGATATCAAATCGAATCGGACCGAGCCGGCACATATCGATATCGAATCTGACCAGAACGGGCCCTGGTGGTTGGGGGGATCGGGCACCATGGCAACAACGCATCTCAACAAGGAAAGCGTGATGCAGCTGAGACTGGGCGCATTGGGGAACAAAATCCCACCAGCACGGTAAGGAAAGGCGAGCAAAGGCAGAATAGAAACCTCCAGGACCAAGTGCGAAGTACGATGCCGAATCATACGTCAGAGTGCAAGAGACAAGACGCCGAGCAGGGGATATAGTGTAAATCCGATCAAAAATATGAATCGGGATGCCTGAAGATAATCACTAAGCAGCCGACCACTCATCAAAGAACGCCGTTGAATAATGCACATCGCGGCAATCACTACAGGTTGGAAGCGTTTCCTCAAAACATGCATATTGGCCTCAACCGTGCCCGCTCCAGCAGCAGCTTCGCAAGGCCGTGCCAGTGGGCAAAACCCAGGGGAAGAAGCGATGGTTCTGCGGAGCGCCTTGCCAAAATTGCCGCGTCAAGGCTCACCGCGCAGAGAAGGGGCCGGAAGCCGCCACTGCCGGACTCGGGGAGGCCACCCTCCTCCTGGCCCGGGGAGCCCACGTGGCGGGGGCCCTCGGGGACACTCGGGACTACGGTGAGGGCATTGGACAAGGAGGCATTGGATAAGGGATCCAGGGTCTGGAAGCCGGTGGAACACCAGCTGAGGCTTGGCCATACATGTCATACGACCGCCGCCCTCAGCAGATAAGGAGCCATCCGGGGTCGGAAGCCTCCTGGGCAGACTCCTCAACAAATGCCCCCACCGTATGACGTGGGAGTGGCCGAACCCCGTGCCGTCAGCTACACGGGTGCCCGTTGCAAGCTACTCCGAACTGTGGATCAATCCCCCTCTGCCTCCTCGGTCCTCCGCCAAGGGCCGTCGACCACGTGCCCTTGGCAAGGAGAAGCCTTGCGACCAGTGACTGGCTCCCTCTGTGCGTGTAGCTGCTGGCAGCATGACCGCGCTTCTCCATGGCAACGCTCGGCCATGGGACAGCCTAAGTGGAATCTAGAACACGGCCTTGGGCCTAAGAGGGAGGAGGGATGAGAAGGAGGAGGAGGAGGAGGAGGAAGACGAGAAGAAGAAGAGGAAGAAAAACAAGAGGAGAAAGGAGGGGGGCGGAGTAGCCTTGGCGGCATCTCCACTCGGGCTCGTTCACATCAGGCTCCACGCGGGCGAGGTGCGGCGACACGCAGCTCCCGAACCCGCACCGTGACAGCAGCGCAGTGACCTCCCAGTCGCAGGGCAGCTC